CTGATAACTTGATATCTTAGCCTGCAGCGTGGAGACTACGTACCTATATTATTATCGTTTTGTAGCCTCGTAAAGTAATAATATATATTTCTTAATATTTCTGTGTTCGTTTCGATGGATTCTACAAGATTTTTTAATTGAGTCTCGCAGGACAGCGGATATTGACAACAACTTTCGTAGTCAAATAATAAGCCATATCAAAAACAATTCCGAAACATTCATAGTACGATAGACCCACTAACAATTTATAGGGAGTTATTTTAAGATTCTACTAGCTGGCCCGGCAGACAACGTAGTGCCTCAATCGATAAATAAAATACCTAAACTTTTGTATAAAATAAACTTAAAACAAACAAAAGGAATCCGTCCGACGGGGGACACATCAAAGTAATAATAATAATAATAATAATAATAATAAATCAAACGCGTGGTTATCCAAAGGCAATATATACAAAGAAACTGAAGGATTTATGTTGGCCATCCAAGATCAAGTCATTAAAACTAGAAACTATCAGAAGTATATTATTAAAGATCCATCAGTAGTCTCAGATAGATGCCGCCTATGCAACTCAAATCAAGAAACAATAGAACATATAACAGGGGGTTGTCCATTTTTAGCCAATAAACAGTACACAGAAAGACATAATAACGTTGCAAAACAAATCCACTCACAGTTAGCACTTAAATATAACCTATTAGATGAAACAGAACCATACTACAAATATAAACCTACAAGTGTACTCAACAATGAGTCAGTAAAACTGTACTGGGACCGAGACATCATTACCGACAAAACCACGACAAATAATAGACCGGATATTACACTAACACTAAAAGATAGAAAAATTACATACTTAATAGATATTGCAATACCTAATTCTGAAAATATAAGGAAAAAATACACTGAGAAAATACAAAAATATATACCACTAGCAGATGAAATACGACAAATGTGGCATCAACACACCGTTAAAATTATACCCATAATAATTTCATCAACCGGACTCATTCCAAAATCATTACACACATCGCTCTCAGAACTTGATCTTAATAAATATTCATACATCGCTTTACAAAAATCTGTAATAATTGACACCTGTTCCATAGTGCGACGATTCCTTACATCCACTACTCAAACCCCTACAACACTACACAATGAACCAACTCACTTGGCGTAAGCCCGTGCTAGGTTCACACTTACCAGCATTAGCTGAGAAAAAAAATATATCCATAACCCATAATAATAATAATAATTTATTTATTTCTCTCCTAAATGTATAGTACAAATACAAATGGAAATTAACCTTATAATTTATTTAAAGGAAAAACAAAATTGTTATTTTTATTTAATTCCGAGAATTTTTATATTTATCTACCTTTTAAACCTTCTCTGGACTTCCACAAATAATTCAAGACCAAAATTAGCCAAATCGGTCCAGCCGTTCTCGAGTTTTAGCGAGTCTAATGAACAGCAATTCATTTTTATATATATAGATTTTATATATTTCCAGTCGCACATTTGAATTAAGATAATTAATATTTAATATATTCAATTTGGAATTATCAAATCATAAATATCAGAAATGTTGTGAAAGACGAAACAAAAAAAGGTATTGGTTCCCAAGTAAAATAAATAAAATCGGCTACATGTCTAAAAATCATTCGAGTCATGCCCACTATACGGACCAAAATGCGAACGGTAGGTACATGTTCCCTTTTAGTTATTCATAGATTGAATTTTTAAAGGCACGGAAGAATTTCATTAGGTAAATTGATTTTCTTTTGAAAGGCATTACAAGAAAGTCACTATATTTTATTTCATGTAATTTTTAACCTTAACGATAACGAGAATGTCTTGAAAAGGGGAAGCTTCAAGATTTTGAATATTGTTGCGTTAAATGATTATGCTATTATTCTCTTTTTTATCATTAGTTATTTCTGTAGGTAGTAGGAGGTAAAAATGGATAACACTTTCTATGCCAAAAGTTCTTTGTGCTTAAAATATATCATTGTATGAAACTGCAATCTGGTATCATTACTGCATTAGATTCCTTCAATATAAGCAGTTTTGGAGGAAACGACAAAGGGAAGATCTACTGAGCGGGTGAAGTTTCTCGAAAGAACGTCGCTCCAAATATTATTGTTCGGAATTTGTTAACGCGAACTTATCATGAAAATGTCGTTAGCGCGATTCAGATATCCCCTCAAATAACTTCTGTGATATAGTTGTCGCTACACAGTTTAATATACGAAGTATACGTAGTTTTCTTTTTTTTCCTACGTAAGATGATAGATAGCCTTGAGAGGCTATGTCAGCGTAACCGGGTGTGTAGGTGAGCTCTCGGGGCTCAAACCGGGAGTGTTGCTAGCACTGGCCCTAGCAAGAGCCGTGCTTCGCAGAATTTACTACCGGATCGGAAACGCGACCCACTGAGAAGATCCGACGAGAAACTCATGTCTGTCAAACTGTCTATGGGTTAATTTACTCGTCGAGCCCATCGCTTGCGACGAATCGCAAGCGATGGGTTCGGCGAGGACAGTGACCGGTGCTTGTGGTACCTAAAAGCACCATTAGTGGATCGGGAGGATCCGTAATGAAGTGTTTAGGGCGACGTCGACTGTTTATCATTCGGTCCACATGATGGGATATGTAATTCCCGTCGGCCACGACACGAGGGTTTTCAGGCCGTGCCGCCTTCTCAAAGTGGCGCAATGACGCCAACTGTAAATACTTACTGACTGAGTCAAGCTCCTGGTCATCAAGGAGATCCACATTCCTTAGCAACCATGGTGATTTTCTTTCGACGTTTAAATCTGTCACAGAACTACCTACAACCGTCACACTGTTTTTTACTGGTGGTAGGACTACTTGTGAGTCCGCACGGGTAGGTACCACCGCTCTGCCTATTTCTGCCGTGAAGCAGTAATGCGTTTCGGTTCGAAGGGTGGGGCAGCCGTTGTAACTATACTGAGACTTTAGAACTTGTATCTCAAGGTGGGTGGCGCGTCTACGTTGTAGATGTCTATGGGCTCCAGTAACCACTTAACACCTGGTGGGCTGTGAGCTCGTTCACCCATCTAAGCAATAAAAAAAAAGACGTGCCCGAACTGAACGCGAGTCTCTACTTAAACCACACAATTTGCATTACCGCACAAACTAGAACGTTCTATCTGAAATCCAAACGGCTTGCATTTATCGAATGGATACAGTTTAATTCGATTTGTGGGGGCTCGTGCCGGCTTTACTGCCGACGTGATGTGCATGTAATTAGGTTACTTGACACATGACTACACGTCATCGTGTGGGCAACGCGATATGTTACGATTTAGTTCTAGAAATATTCACCGAGTTTATAATAGTTTTAATACAACCTTTAACGGAAGAAAGAATGAAATTCTAATCGGAAAGAAAAGAAGGAAATTTTTAGTAGAACATTTTATGATTAGATTAAACAGGCATAAAAAATCTCATAATACTAAATTCGATTAGGCAAAACAGGATAAGACGACAGCGGCGACAAAGCAATACGAATCGCAAAAAATCGATATCTCCGAATTGTATTGGTATTCGAGTCACACCTATATAGAACTGACAATCGACAGCTAAAGAACGATATGAAACCAATGGCGCGTCATGAGCAACCATGGCTCGATTAAACTCCCCAACCTTTCGAGGACCATTTAAAACTTTCAAAGATAAATAATTTTATTGCCGACTTAGGATATTTTACATGCTCTAGGGGGCTGTGACGTTTTTTTATTTATTAGATGATTACATTGTTTAAGTTTTGAAACTAAAAATCATTTCTTTGCGGACGATGATTTGTTACCAAACAAAATAAAATAAAAACTACCAAATACCGTATTGTTACAGAGCTATTTCAAGTACATTTATTTAACAGAAATCAAATAATATCTTGACAGCTACGTCAGAGTAAAAATAGTTCACTGGTATTTCGGTTCCATGAATAATTTAAAACGTATTTTGTTAATAACTTTCGGAGTGATTTTAGGGTTACAATAACAGAGACAAGTTGATTGGTAGTTTTAGATGTAACGGGTATTATTAAAAATCTTGTCTTTAGTGTACCCACTATCATCGATTAGTCTGGTATTTTAGATATTTGTAGAGAAGAAAACGTCTCAGAGATCATAAGATACCACTACAATAAAAATCATGCATCTGTCAATCAATCATCACGTACTGTGATATCTGATGTGTCTTCTATTGCGTATGCCAAAATAGGGATAATTTCCTCCTGGCTGAGCCTTTGCTCGCCTACCTGTCCTGGTGAAACTGGAAAGGCCCCAGGGCCACCAGTAATCCTTCAATCATAAAAAAAGAGATAATCTTTTCTATTTTGATATTAGGAAGTCTAAAGAAATATTTACAGATTAAAAAAAAAAATTGGCTTTAAATACTTTTTGATATAACAATATAACAGGTTTAATAAACGTCGCTGGAACAATTTCCCCGATGCTCCGAACCAATCAATTCGACCTATTGATTAAATTTCTCATCTTCATATCCGGCGTCTTGCACGGTAATGATTACAGATATGTATGTATTTCGGACAATGATCCAATAAGGTGGAGAGACGTAGTGAAATTTTATAGAACCTAGACTGACAGATGACAGATAATGCATATGATTTACTGGTGTTAAGACCTCTTGTGAGTCCACACGGGTAGGTATCACCACCCTGCCTATTTCTGCCGTGAAGCAGTAATGCGTTTCGGTTTGAAGGGTGGGGCAGCCGCTGTAATTATACTGAGACCTCATATCTCAAGGTGGGTGGCGACATTTACGTTGTAGATGCCTATGGGTTCCGGTAACCACTTTACACCAGGTGGGCTGTGAGCTCGTCAACCAACCTTAGCAATAAAAATAAAAAAACCAATGCCTATTTATGTTGAATCCACCAATTTTGGACCTATTTTATGATACTATCAAACTATTTTTAGATGCGTTATAAAGTTATAGTATAGTGGATACGTACCACGAGTGCGTGTCGCACCCGTTTTTCCGCCTCGGCGTATGGCTCCCTATTATGCTGCAGGTTACGACCTGAAAAAGAATATCAATCCATTAGTACATTAACCAGAGGAGGCAAAAAAACATTAATCTCGATATATAAAAATGAATTGCTGTTCGTTAGTCTCGCTAAAACTCGAGAACGGCTGAACCGATTTGGCTAATTTTGGTCTTGAATTATTTGTGGAAGTCCAGAGAAGGTTTAAAAGGTAAGATAAATATGAAAATGCTCGGAATTAAATAAAAATAACAATTTTGTTTTTCATTTGATGTGTCCTCCGTCTGACGGATTCCTTTTGTTTGTTTTTTTATACAAAAGCTTAGGTCTTTTATTTATCGATTGAGGCACTACGAAGTCTGCCGGGTCAGCTAGTATGAAATGAAAAAATCGGTGCAGGAAAATCAAGTAACTATTTTATGAGGAGTTTTAATCATTACTAGTGGTCCCGCAGTAGTCGAAATTCGACTATAATTAATTGGAATTGTAAGTTTGCACACTATTGTGATTGTATTTTATACTTCTATTCTCAATTTGACCACAGACGTAAAGAACAAAGTTGGACAATAAATAGTATGCACGCGTGTGTGCGTCAAATACACGGTATGTAGTGTGTGTAATGTTTTCTTTATTGATTTAATGTATCTTTTATGCATTATTTAAAAAAAATATTAGCATTGTGCACTTCTTCTCTATATTCTCTATAAGTGTGGAAAATTTCACACTCCTCCGTCCGCGCAATTTTCGTAAAAAGGGATACAAAGTTTTTGCTTCACGTATTAATATATAGATAAAATAACCATGCGAGATCCGAATGGGTTAATAAGATTTAAACGTATCTAAACAGACCGTTATGTCAAACAGGTCTCGACGGGAACAGTTTAGGCGCGGTTAAGTCAAATTGAATCATTAAGACTTCCTGCTGTAACCGCTATTAATTCTATTAGTGCAGCGTCCAAAGCCGGACCTATTTATAACCAAAGTTATTCCTGATGGAATTCGAGTCACGGACTCGGGCTTCCGCGTCTAAAACAAGCGGCCAAACCACTGGCAGTCCAGTCGGCTTGAATGATAATCGGTTAAAATTACGACAGTGCACTATAAGATATTTATTATCCTCAAATAAGGTGTAGCAATTGACACAATTTTGCGCCATACGGCATTACAAGCCAATACTTTTGCCCGTAGCAATGAGTTTTTTGATTTTTCTAAACATATCGACATTTTATCGTCGTCTTTAAAATTAGATTATTTGTGAACTAGAAAGCAAACGTTAGGACTTGTAAACAAAAAAGAAATAAAGGCGCGTCAAGTTTTGAACTCGTGAAATCTTGACTAAACGATTCAATAATCTCTATATATAAAAATGTATTGCTGTTCGTTAGTCTCGCTAAAAATCGAGAACGGCTGGACCGATTTGGCTGATTTTGGTCTTGAATTATTTGTGGAAGTCCAGGGAAGGTTTAAAAGGTAAGATAAATATGAAAATGCTCGGAATTAAATAAAAATAACAATTTCGCTTTTCCTTTGATGTGTCCCCCGTCGGGCGGATTCCTTTTGTTTGTTTTAAGTTTGTTTCATACCAAAGTTTAGGTCTTTTATTTATCGATTGAGCCACTACGAAGTCTGCCGGGTCAGCTAGTAACAGCTATAAATCTTTAAGCGCGATTTCTAAAAATAAGTTTCATAGTAAGATTTTATGATTATGCCAAACATATGACATGTCTTGGGCGTGGTCCCTAGTGATTCCATGTCTACAAACTATGATCGCTTCCCATTAAGACTAAAAACACAACGCGGAACCAATACTGTGTTTCAACAATACAAATTTCATGAAATAGAGAACAAAAGAAATGTGACATAAACACGCGACTCATTCATTTATTTCGAGAAATTTCTATTTAAGAATACGCTATTTCGGCTCTTAATTGTTTCGTTTATTAATTATTAGACGTGCCCGGCAGTTTTGCCTTCGTTAAATGGAAATTTTGCGTTTTCCCAAGATAAAGAGTCGTTGTTTCTATCGCGCTCTGCATCGTAAACTACAAGTCGATTTATCGCGCACCAGTGAATACAGTGTCGTATTTTTTATAGCTAAAATATACCCGGTATTATCGGGTTCATGTCATTTACCATGATCATATCTATGCGTAAATCCAGGTTAGAGAACACGTCATTTCGGATCCTCCCGATCTACTAACGGTGCTTTTAGGTACTTCAAGCACCGGTCATCGTTCTCGTCGAACCCGTCGCTTGCGACGAAGGGCTTGACGAGTACATTACAGTGGGTCGCGTTTCCGACCCGGTGGTAGATTCTGCGAAGCACTACTCTTGCTAGGGCTAGTATTAGCAACACTCCCGGTTTGAGCCCCGTGAGCTCACCTACACGTCAAGGAGAAGCTGAAATAGCCTCTTAAGGCTATCAGCTTAGGTAGGAAAAAAAAGGTTGGAGACTATCTTTGTGACTAAGTTATAATTCTTTTTTTTTTCTCTGCTATACAAATATGCAACAAAATGATACTTCTGTGCAAATTTTGTCAATTACATGTCAATCGCGATGGCCATCTAAACCGTCATGTTTATCTGATTCTCTTCTCATCTTTACAAGGGCTTTACTAATTGTGCGGACTTAAATAAAAAAAACATTTTTTTTACCACAAATTCTACAACCTTTCCCAACATCAAATCCAAGGCCAATATAACAATGAAAACAAAATCGGAACCGCCCGCATACAAACGATCCGCTTCTAGGAAAACGACTAGTACGCCGTCCGACCTTGCTTTCGACGAATTTCACCCAGCGCCTATATAGCAACTAACTCTCCCTTCCACTATAATACAAATACATATTACATTTTTGTTTCTGTCTGTCCATAAGCCCCAGTACCGGGAACTCAGGTAAGCCCTGCTCTAAGTGATTCACATTTTGTAAAAGTGGTTACTATAACGATTAGACCACACCGTAAAATTCTTAACCGCTTTAAGACATTCCAAGATAGGTCACAATTGATACGCATCGTGAGCTGCATTGAGTTCGGTGTATTGTCAGGCGGACTGCCAGTTCTTACTGGAGGTAGGACCTCTTGTAAGCCCGCACAGGTAGGTACTACCACCAGTAACCACTTAACACCAGGTGGACTGTGAGCTCGTCCACCCATATAAGCAATAAAAAAAAACTTGCCAAGTAACATTAAAAATAAAATTCGCTCTGATGACAGATCTAACACTGATGTATGCCAATCCGTACGGGCTCATATACCAAATACGGAACAATCAAGTTCAGTAATACAGAGCATACGAGAGGGTTGTTTCCATATAGGCTTATACGTCTCCCGGCTCAGATTAATTAAAGTGCCGGCTTTCCCTTGGGTATTAAGCCGTAAATTGAACTACGAGTAGCTGAATGATCAAACCGAAAGTCAGTCCACGCACTAATTAAGTTAAATACCGCACGTACAAATGGAGTTCATTAGTAAACAATGATGATATGCGAGGTTTGGTGGGAGAACAGGTCGCTCATGGCTGACCTAGTAGACCTGATGTAATGGAACGGTACACCTTGAGGTATGAGGTCGGTCTCGATGGCATCGGAAAAGCTTGATTCATTATTTAAGTCGGAAATCACTGTTTGCTTCCCTAAAAACATCATAAACTAAATTAGGTTGAGAAATTTTTGATTTCACTCCTATGTCCTATTATAGTTTAGATCAGGCCTGGGCAAATGGCGGTAGAATTTTGTCTGGCCCGTGAAGCATTGTATATATTATTATTAAAAACACAAATATTCGTTTTTGTCTAACATAAATTGGTGCATAATTTTTTTTAGATAAAACATTAAGCAATACTGATACATATTATCGGGGCCGGTGGTGGCCAAAATTTTCTCTTTCAGCACCTCCAATTCGAAAATATAATTATGATAATTGAACAATTACAGTATGTATAATAGTCGCACAATACAAAATTAGAAAACTGTTTGGCCCGAGGTCAAATTTTCATCTGCAATGTGGGCCCGACTATCGAAATATTTGCCCAGCCCTGGTCTAGATATATTTTATTGTGAATAATATGTGTTTGTATTTTTATTTTTTCGGTATTCAGCGTCCTCAACCTTATCAGCAACCATACACGCTGGAAATGTCCTCCACCACTTCCACTTTATCTCCAAGTGAACTGCCAGTACTAATCGTCTGTATGCCAATAAAAAATAAATGTATTCAACCGGAAACAACTTCAAAACTCACAGAATAATCCTTTTGATGATTCCAAAATTTTATGTGAAAATTTTACGAGGTGTTTCGTACTAAAACTAATTAGCTATTTCAAGGAGTATTATCCAAGACAAATTCTTCAGCGGGCGATGTGGCGCGTTGAAATCGAGAATATCAGATATTACGTGAGATTTTAACCAGTAACCTAGTTAAATGAATGTTCGTTCATATGAAATGAGACGCTCTAAGCTCGCTCGGTTAGGGACCACGATTCTGCCTATTTCTGCAGCGAAGCAGTCATATGTTCCGGTTTGAAGGATGGGGCAGCTAGTATACGATAGAATTGAAAAAGGTCGATGAAGATAATGTCGAGGGGTGAAAGGGTTTTTTTATTTATTGCTTACATGGACGGACGAGCTCACAGTCCACCTGGTGTTAAGTGGTTACTGGAGCCCATAGACATCTACAACGCATATGCGCCACCCACCTTGAGATATAAGTTCTAAAGATCTCAGTATAGTTACAACGGCGGCCCTACCCTTCAGACCGAAACACATTACTGCTTCACGGCAGAAACAGGCAGGGCGGTGGTACCTACCCGCGCGGACTCACAAGAGGTCCTACCACCAGTATAAGGGTATTATTTGAGTCGTCTATTATCAAAGGTGGCAATCTGTGCATTTGGACAAAAAAATGTTATTGATATGGCGATACAGATTAATTTGAATATAATCGTCTCCTTCAAAGAATACGGTTCAAAACCTGCATTAAATAAAGGTTAATACTTAACCTGTTATTTATCTAAGATGTCGTTCAGAAGAGTT